GTCATGGTGTAAAGCACCAGTCTCAAAACCTGCAATCAACCAACAACCAAAAATTTATTTTAACTCAGATATGTTTGTTTAGGCAATTTCAAGGTATATAAAAAAAAAATCTAATGCGAACCTCCTAATCATATGGAACAATATGACACCAATATCAACTATTTTTATGGTTGGAATCGGTGCCATCTTTTTTTTCTCTCTCTCTAGTGTTAGATTCCAGTGACTTTCCTTCATCTCTTTCAAATCATAAACCAAAAAACAAGAAAAATATAGTTTGGGATTAAAATTCATTTTTCCTTTAAATTTTGGAAACCAAATAAACCTAATATTTATAATTTGGAAAGACTGAGTATCAAAATAAATATTTTATTCAAACTTTGTTAAAGCTACTCATTCTTTTTGTGTTTTTCACTTTGGTCCCTCATTTTTCAATCTCAACCTTCCGTGATAAATTGGCCTATAATTGGTCCGATAAGGGCTAATTTAAAAAAAAAGCACTATGAACAATTTAATGAAGGCAAATAATTAATTTAATTTAAATAAAATTTCTTTGAGTGCAAGAAGAAAAGTGTGAAAGGGCATATAATATAATAATTAAAATGAAATAGAGTGATGAATTAACAAATATTAAAGAAAAGACTAAAGTTTTAAAATTTGTTGATGTTGATGGTAAGATTGTATTTTTATTGTACAAAAAGTTTGAAAAAGACTAATATACCCTTTCAAAAATCTTATAATGACCAATAAGCTAGTGAAAAAGACCAAAGCATCCCCAACTCTCAAGGTTTCCTTCTTTTCTTTTTCTCCACGTAATGACAAAAGGATAATTTCATTGTAGTCATCCACAATAAACTATATCTAGTACTATAGTGAGGCATTTACTCTTTATATATTTTTGGTAAATTAATAATTATCATTTGGGTGGCGTCCATATCATTTGAGAGGTGTGTGCAACGTCACCTAATGTCTAAACATGACACTCTGTTGTGTCTTTAAAAGCACCATTGTATTCTATTCTTTATGATATGACATATGACGAGATATGGTTGTTGGATTGTTGTCAGTGGTCATTTTTTTCTCTCTCTCCTTCTAGATAAAGTGCATGATTGTCCTTTTTATTTTTTATTTTTTAATTTCAGTCCTCATTCTCTTGATTTCTTATTTTATTCTTATTCTTTTTATAATTTTTTTTTCAATTTAGTACTTCAATTATAATTTCTCATATGTTTTTTTTGTCATTTCGGTCCTTATTTATTTGATTTTTAATTTATTTTTTTGGCCCTGTTGTTAAAGTTTTATTGGTTTTTAATTTCATCATTTCATCAAAGTTCTTTGTTTTTGCTTTTGCAATTTTATTCCTTATTCTTTTAATTTTTTATTTTATTTTTATTCCTTTTGTAAAAGTTTTTCTTATTTTTTTTAATTTAGTCCTTCAATTAAAATTTCTCATATGTTTTTTTTTATTTTCGTCCTTATTCAATTTATTTTTAATTTATTTCTCTGACTCTTTTATTAAATTTTTATTAGCTTTCAATTTCATCCTTCAATCAAATCTCTTTGTTTTTGCCTTTTTAATGTCAATCCTTATCTTTTTGATTTTTGATTTTGTTCTTATTCCTTTTATAAAAGTTTTGTTTGATTTCAATTTTAGTCCTTCAATTAAAATTTTTCATATGTTTTTTTTCATTTCAGTCCTTGTTATTTTTATTTTTAATGTATTTCCTTGGCCCTTTCGTTAAAGTTTTTATTGCCTTTAAATTTCATCATTAAATCAAAATTTATGATGTTTTATTTCTTCAATTTGACCCTCATTTGTTGGATTTGTTTTTTCTTTTATTAAGGTTATTTTTCAATTCAATTTAATCTTCCAATTAAAAACTTTTGTTTCTGCTCTAACTTTTTATTTTATTTTCACCCTCATTATTTTAATTAATTTTTTTTCTTAGATTCTTATGTGCAATTGATTTTTTTCTAATTTTACATTTTAATATTTGATTTATTGGGGATTTGGCTTCTTTTTTATTTTTATTTTTTAACACTTCTGATCTAATGATTCGTGTCGTGAGTTTGAAAAGGTAATGTCGTTCAACATCTTTTTATTTGCTCATTTTCTTTTATGATCTTATCATTTTGTAATAAGTTTTTTTTTTAATATTGGTTTTGTGATTATCTTTGATTTTTTTTATATAGGTTTATCCTAGTCTAGTGACTTAAATCTCATATTTTGTATGTCTTTTTTGGATAATTTTTTTATTTTTTTTTTGTTTATGTTTGATTTTTTAAGATATTTCTAATTCTCCTATAATTTTTTTTTTATTTTATACAAATGAAATTTATTTTTCAAAATAAAAAATACTCATTTTATAATAATATTTCTTATATATTTGGTCTTGCAAAATATTTAATCAATTTTATTTGTATTTCTATTTTTATTATCTTTAATTAATATAAATAAACAAGTTCAATAAAAGCAATCTAATAAATATCTCAGTTTGTGTAATTGAATATATTGATCTAAATTCATCTCTCAATTTTTTCAAATTGTCTTTTGGTTATTATTAATGATTTTTTTCATTTATTTACTTTGATAGTTATCCATTTTTTAATTAAATATTTGTATAGGTTTTTCATTTTACACTTTACTTTTTTATGTAAAAAACATATCAAGATAGTTTGTAAATCTGATTTTTTTTGAAAAAACAAATTACAATATGCAACATAACACAAATTATATAACTAATCACTATAATAGATGTTGTTGTTGTTTTGGTGTGTTTCTAGTATATATTGCTGTTATTTTTTCTTTTCTTTTATTTGTTTTTTTTTTCAAGAGTTTATGTCACTTCTCAAGTGGAAAGTGTGGGTTTTATTAAATTGTTGTTTTTTTAAAAAATATGGTTTTTCAATATTAATTTTTCAATTTTTTAAAAATAATTTTCTAATTAAAAAACTCAATATAATGCAGGAATATTTTTAAGTTTGAATCTATTTTTATTATATAACTTGATTATTCATTAAAAAAGTATGTCCCTACCTTATCGCCGTCTCTAATAACCAGCTATGATTAATTTTTTACAATATTATTAATAAGAAAATTGTCAAAATTTGTCTCATCTTTTATATAAAATACTTTATGTGTAAAGTATTTACATAAAAAAAAAAACTTGTATAGGAAAATATTAATTTGGATGCTTCGCGCCTTGAAGAGGAGTGGTCCTGGCACTGCATAAGAAGATCCAAGAATAACAGCAATAAGGCTAAGGGCACGCAATTTAAGGCACCTTTTCAACTGGTAGGCTTAGATTCTCTGTATCTCTCCCTCCCTTCAATTTTCATTTTTTAGTGTGTCTATATATATATATATATATATATATATATAAAATCTATTTTGAGTAATTTTACAAGTTTTAAAATTAATAATTATATAATTTTTATTTTAAAATGTCAAACAGATATTTATACAAATATAAATGATATATCCTTTATTTGTTTTTCTTTCTTATATATTATATCTAGTAAGATGGTTATTTTTTAAAATATTTTTTATTTTAAAATATATTAACTACTTGAATGATTTTTAACATTAACACATTAAAATATTTAAAAATATCAAAAAAATTAATTTAAAATAAAAATAAATAAAATTTTGATTTTTAAAAAAATTCTTTTAAAATATAAAAATAAACAAGATCTTAATAAAAATTAATTAAATGAAAGATCCAAAATTTTTTGTCAATATATATATATATATATATATATATATATATATATA